AATAGGCTGAAAATTCATTACAAAGAAGAGCATGTTCAGAAATATCTTCTTTTCAAGTTTTGCAAAATTTATTTTTCCTGTCAGGAGAAATCAAGTTTGATCCAAGTGTACCACACTTCACTTCACGAGCTGATTTATAACTTTTAACTTGGCTTCAAACGCTTTTAAAAGCTTCCGAAATTTCATCGAATCGTTTCAAAATACACTCATAGTCTATGCAAACATGAGCAACACCAAGTAACAGACCTAAAATCAGAAACCTACGATATAAAACTCGCAAAAGTCAGCTGGATAACAAGTATTTTCTCACACCGAATCGACTGCACTTTCAAAAAAGACGAAGCATGAAAAAAAAGAAGAAAATAACAAAGTTCTAGAAAAAGAATCGATGCAAGAAAGGGCAGTTGAGAAATGGGAAAAAAAATTGAAGCAAAAAATGGGATTAGAGAGGATTCGTTTCTATTTTCGTATTTGAGGGGGGAAAAATGTCCTTTTTCGGGTTTCGAAATTTTTGAGACGATTGTAGCTCAGAAGGTCTGGTCCTCATTTGAAATGGCTACAAAACGTTGTGGATCACTATCTACCTTGCTAGGGAAACTTGGGACTAGCTTGAAAAACTAGCAACTGCCAATTTTTGGCTCGAAAGGGATGGTCCTTTTTTTGGTCCTTTTTTTGGGATGGTCTTGGGTTCAAAAGTCAAGGGCGTTCTATTGACTGCTTGGGATGGTCCTTTTTTTGCTCGAGAACTTGGTAATAGCAATTTTAAGCTCGAAAATTTTGTACCATCAATTTTAAGATGGAAAACTGTGGAAAGTTAAATCCAAAATCCAAAATTACAAGTAATGTTCAAATTTGAGCAAACTCAGAAAATATTTTCAACTTTTTATGCCTATCTGCGCATCAAATTTCCTTTTCGCGGAAAAAAAAATCGACCTTCACGTCGGCGCTTTCTAACAAAGTTTTTTTTGATCGTTTCTGCTTCATGTTTTTCAAATATATGAATAAACGGAGAAACTTTTATTTCCAAGCCGAAAGAGAGAAAAACCCCTAATTCAGCCAGTAAAAGAGAGAGAGGGAAGAGCACATCGAAAAAGTTTATAACAACGAGTCGGTCGAAAAAAAAACACTGGCGCGAGAAACATCTGTTGATATCTCTGACATTTCCTTTTTTTCATTTTTTTTTTTTTGACGCGACGGGTTCTCCTGGGAAATTAAAATTTTTCGTCAATTTCCAATTTTTTTTCCCCTCTTTTTGTTTCTTCTCGTCGCCACTTTGACGAGTCATTTCATTAAATTTCTGTTCATAAAAAGTCAAAGATCAGCTAGGAACATTTCGAGTAATCACTTAGAGATGGCTTTGAGAGGAATACTAAAAAAGCATCTTTCAGTGGCTCATTGAAGGAAAAATTCCGTTGTGATATAATTTACTTTATTATTTGACGCTAGAAAACAGCTGTGAATATTAGCACCCGGTATTCTTCATAACAGATTATCAGAAAGACCCAAAAAAAAAAAATGAATGAAAAAATTAGGACTAACTCAAGAGAATACCCCATTTCACCTAAATCTCTCTAGTGGCCACTTCTCTTATTTGCAGAGCATTTTCACCAGCAAGGAAAGTATCAAAAAAAGGAGCGCCGAAAAATTCAATATCTATATTGGCAAGACATAAAAAGGGGCCAAAATTGGTTTTTTTTTTCTCTTTCATTCATTTTTTACGTTTTTTCCGAATGCTCGCGGGAAAAATTAATTGAAATATGAGTAGAGCTAGTTTTTTCGCTTTTTTTCACTAGATTTGAAAAAAATCTGAGGTTTCTGAATCATATTTTTAAAAAGAGAGCTATTTTTTTCTCGCAAAACTACCGAAAAAAAGAGCTAACTTTTTCTTTAGCAAAAGCGTTCCAGTTTGGAGTTCTCAGAAAAAAACTCGCCCGAAACCCGAAAAAAATTGGATTGATGTCCGACATGTTAGCAGTGCAAAAAGTGAGAAAAAAAAATGATGCATTCATTCCAATTTTTTTTCGCGCGGGGGGCATTTCATTTCAATTTTTTTTCCTTCTCTTTTCGCGTTGAAATGAAATGCCCCCGACACTTGGGAAAGAAAAATCTTTGCGCAAAGAAAAAAAAAGTTCAAACAAAAAAAACGGGAAGGTCTTCATTTTCAAGGCTGAATTTTTGAATTGAAAAATCTCATCTCTGTGAAAAATTTGAAACATATTTTGAGGGTACTAGAATGTTTTTTTTTCAGAAACTAAATGGAAATACAACAAGGAAAAGTTTCAATCAAAGCAGTTTAATTCAATAAAAAACCCGATGTTTAAATAATCTCAACGGATACACTTTAACCGGCCATTATTGTCTAATGTTATTTTCTAAAATTATCAGAGAAGAGAGTATTCATACGTTTGTCTTTTCAATTCTTCAAACTGAGCTTTCCTAACTGAATCTTGATGTATGCTTTTTACCATGCATTGAAACGAGTTTATTAGGTATCTGGAGCAGCCTAGAAAAAAAAGATGCTTGAAATTTTAACAGCATACATTTTTTCAACACGTCTCCAGACGTTCCAGAAATATTCACGGCTAGAGCATGTAATTAAGTGAAAACGAGGATTGAAGGTTCGATTAGATTTAAAACTCACATATTGTCATTTTAATACTGATATATTTGCCCTAAGCTTGGAAAAAGTGGAAAGCAGTATCATGAATTCTCGAGACGAAAAGCTTTTTTCAGTATCATTCCAAGTCACTAAAGCTTCGTCAACTGCAAAAACCACAGCGAGGCTTTTTTTAAAATATTAACCGAAAATAAATTAAGTTAGTAAGATAAATTAATAATCGAGATGGTGAGGAGAAGCGTTTGGTGACGGCGGCGTCGAAAAGAAAACGCGCAAAAATATATAGATGCCGACCTACATTTTGACCAATTTTTCCCTAACCGAACGAAATCGCGGTCGTCTTGTTGTTTTTTTTCCGCCTTTTTCTCATTCTACGGGCCCCGTGTCCGTTTTGAATGTCGAAAAATAGTATATGTATATTGCGCTACGACGACAGTAAATCTTCTTCAAGCCAAGACCTTCCGTTGAAAAGTTGGTTTGATGAAACGGGAAAAAAAATGATTAAAATATTGAGAGTAAGAAAAAATAGTTCAAGAAAAAAAGACTGCGCCTTAGCTCAACTTCTCAGTTTACACATAATTTAGTTAGTTATGGAAAACTAACTCCTCATTAAAAATACTTAACGAGTTACAGCAACTAAAAAAATTTAGCTTATAAGTTCTGCTCGAAAAAGAAATGGAAAAAGAATCTCGAAAAAATATTCAATGAATTCTTATAGCTTCGAATCTTCAAAAACCTGCTCACTAAAAGTTCAAGAAAAAGCGTCCGTTAAAAATAACTCGAGATTTCTCTTTAAGGCACCATATTTGAAGTACGAAATGTTTTTACACATGTTCGCTGTTAAGTATTACGCTTTAGAGTTGGACTAAACAGCCCATAAGAAAACTTTTTCCTCTAAATTCGAAAAAAAAAATGCGAAACCTCAACTTCAAACTTTGAAAAAGTTTCAAAGCGAGGAACGGTCAGACGACGTCTCACAGAAAACCAAACACAAAGGAAGCGGCGGCTTGGATTTTCAAAAAAGGAGTGTAAAGTGAAGAGCGAGGTTCCACTTGTGTACAAAAGAGCACCTGGCAGAGGAGGAGTAAGCCATTCAAAACCGATTCCGAAAAAAAGGAAATGACCACGGACTTTTCGTTTTTCATAATTATTTGTTCTTTGATTTCAGTATTGATGTTCTTGCTGGGGTCTTTCAAGTCCTAAAATGATCTAGAGAAAGGCTCACCATCACGAAATTGTTAATAAACTTGTAGAGCCCTATACAGCGATTTTTCAGATTAGCCTTGAAAAAACGTTGAAGATGGTATCAACATGATGGAAATTTTCCGCTGTGACAAAAATGAAAACTCATCGGAAACATAAAAAATGACTTTGTCTTGGTTGACCCAAATTTTTCTGAAGAGAACAATTTCCCGGCCTTCATTTTTTCATTTTGATGAGATACTTCCCAAAATTCAAAAAATGTATCATTTCTAACTACTAAAGGACTTTCTGAATGGGTTCAAGAAGACTTACATATCCAATTTTAGAATTGAAAAATGAAAAAGACTCACCTTTGCCGATGGAGCTGTCACCAGTCATAGAGCTTCGTATCTTCGCGTCCTCGTCAATAAGAATTTCAATGAAATTGACGCTTTCATCTTTCTTGATATAGATCAAAAGCTAGTCGAACAACTATTTACATCCTTTTGAATACTGACATTCAAAAAATAAATGAGAAAACAAAGAACGAAAAAAAATGTATAGTGCGAATATTCTCAATGACCGGGCGTACTTTTCAAAAAATTGGTTTGTGCTCAAAAAAAAATAATGGCATTGCGGAGGAATACAAAGAACGTGAAAAATACAAAGGCCGTAAAAGAAGAGAAAAAATGTACAGCAGAAAAAAACTGAAATAAATAAAAACTCTGTTGTTTGAAGATTCTTTTCGCTAAGAAAATCCTCTTTATAATCACATCAGCTACAGTCCAGAAAAAGCACACACACATACAAGAAATCACATTGGAAATATACAGTTTTTCAAGAAAGAACTGAAAGTACAGCGAAAGCCAGATTGCAATATCATACAAAGAAAATCACTTCGAAAGGATATGAAGACAAAAAAGCGAAACGGAAGAAGCAAAACTGAAAAAGTTATTAAATGAGATAGACAGTAACGCAACAGAATCATCATTAAATATGAGGTGGTATATTCTGGCAACGTTAGCAAAACAGAAGGATTGACGAGAGAAAATCACAGTCGACAGAAAAGAAATTTTCGAAAAAAGAAATACAATGAACAATGAAATACCCGTGCAATTAGGATTAGAAAGAGGGAAAGGCTATATTGTACGAAATTTCCAAAATTGATCCATAAATGAACTAAAAGATCCGTCGAGGGTATTTAAATTTCCGCCATTTCCACGTCCTCTTCCGCCGCTTCGCTTTCCCTTGTTTGCCTACAAAACTGAACTTCAAAGTTTGCACGAAGGAGGATTGACAACTTTTTATCTCGCCATAAGCGAATATTCTCAAGAACTGCCGAGGCGAGTTCCCGGATCGGGTCAGTCGTTTGCTCGTTCAACACCAACTCTTCGAGCAACGGCATGCCGCCTTCGTCGATCACATATGCGCAGTATCTAAACAATTCAAATGTAAGGAAAAAAAGTTAGTAAATTTTTTTAGATGTTTAATTTTAAAAACTGGGAAAAAAAGTTTATTAAAGAAATATTTTTTTATGCATAGCCGTAGCCGGAGACCAGGCAAGTTGCGTCAGTCTGGACGGGCCGGTCCAAGCTGGCCTGGCCCGGGCTCATGGCCCTCATCTTTTAGAAAAAGCTTGCGCACACTCGTCAAATAGAGCGACATAGCACCAAAAATATACTTTTTTCTGCTTTTCTTTAAATAACTTCACATTTTCCCGAAAAAAAAAGAAAATGATGTGGTAGCCTTATGAGAAGATTTGAAAACAAAATCGGTTGAAAAGAAACAAAAAAGAAAAATGAACCCAGACTAATCCCAGAAAGAGCTCTACAAAAGTTACTTTTTTAACAAAATGATACTCACTTGGATCCATCAGTGGTCGTCAGATTGGCCAAGGCCCAAACAGCCCAATGTTGGCTTGCGTAGGCGTTGTAGAGCGGCAAAAGACGCAATATAGGCCTGAACGATCGATAGTTTATAAATCGGCGTGTTTGGAGCTTCCACTCGTCAGTCGCCTGAAAAAGTTATGGAATTGTACGAATTTTTCCCATTTTGTTTTCACCTTGACAATCTTTTTCATGACCTCTTCTCGGTCGATTTTGACGAGGTTCCAGGCTTCGGGACCATCGCTGACCATGTGGGCCAAGACGCCGGCCGAGTTGTAGCTGATCTCGATAGAGTCTTCAACTTGGTCCAACAACGTGCTGAAAATATACCAAAATTTATCCAAGCCACGGCGTTTCAAAATGGGTGAGGCGCCAGGAAGGGACGCGGCCTGTATCGCGTAAATCTACGCGAGTATCGCGGTTCCGACTGTGGATTTACATTGTGAATTTGATAAATAAAAGTTTTTTTTAGGTTTTCCATATCTAGAACCTTTTTTATATGATAAATTCAGCAAAATAATAGTCCATTAATACGCTTGCATATTAAAAGAAAGTCTTTGTTTCATTTTTTTGCGACATTGAGAAAATGCGAGAATTTTACCATTTTTAAATAGCAAAAATATGTTTTTCTTATCAATTAAAACTGATTCAACCATTAAAAACATTTTTTTTCAAGTTTCGGTAGTAATAGTTTTTACGAAAAGCGTTCAACTAAAAATTAGACGCTCTTACGAAAATGATCCTCATCTAATGTACAATATCATGCTTAACATTACGTTGGCGTTTTGAAGTTTGAAAACAGCCGGAAACAATTGGTTGTTAAGTAGAAGATTTTTTTTTTCACTCATCATAAAAAGACTGAACTTGAGTAAAATACCAACATTCTGAGCACAAGAACAGCAGCTGTCTATTGAAATATAAAAATATTGAGAAAAGATGCAACAAAATGAAATGTTCGTCAAGGAAGAAATCAGCTCCGTATCTGAAGCGGTTAAAAGGCGATGCACAGTTATTCTTTTGAGCATACTGTCTGGAGCGCCAAAAGGCCGCCATAACTCTTTCTCTGACGCATACTATTTTGTCGTTATCTAGCTGCAACAAAACGAAAAAATAATGTATGTCAAAAAAAGAGATGTGGCGCCGTTCTGACGCTCCATTTCAGAGTATTTGCGCGCAGAAATTCGTTTTCAATTTGGGCCCGTTCCCAGACTTTTACCCTCCCGACACCGTGCAAGCCTCGAACTAACCAGAATATCTCAACGCATTGGGCGTTCATCAGCTGGGATCGCAGCTCATCGACTTCGGCAATGTTTCCTATCAAACCCATCATATTTCTGACAAGTTCTCTGGAAAAAATCCTTTCATCGATAGAACGCCTTCAAAATCGTACCTTTCCTGTCGGAACGCAGAAAAACACTCTCTGAACAAAGTCAGGCCGTTGGCGGCGAGGAATTTCTCGCAATTCACTGGGGTTTCATCTGAAAAATCTTGTATACGAAACAGCTTTTTTTTTCGAAAATCACCAGTGATATTCCAAAGGAAGCTCCAGCCAACTTCCATGACGTCATCGCACACGTTTTGCGTATGTTTTCTTCTGATCTGCTCAATGATCATCTGAAAATACAAATTTAATTGCCGTACATTCAGCCGTTTCTGTTATCGAAAAAAGAAAAATCCCCCTTTTAAAAATAACCAGCTTTTTGATGTTACTAGGTTTTTGATTCTTCGCAAAAAATAAAATTAGATAATCCGACTATTAGCGTTAAAAACTTAACTTTACCCGATTCTGACTATTTTGAGCCGAGGTATGAATTTTTGAAGTTTAAAATGACTAAATTCACCAAAAAAGCGGAAAAATCGATATTTCGAGATGGGTTGATGAGGTTACCATACCGTCCTATATGGAGTAAGACCCTCTGAGAGCGGTAAAAAAAAATTCACTACACCCTATTCTGAAATTACGATGACTAGAACTAAATAAATTCTAAAAAAAAAAAAGTAATTTTGTAGTATTTTAAATATTCTGTGCTTTTCTTCAATTTCCATCCTGATTTCTTACTTCAATCGCTCCGTAGCTGCCGACTTCGATCTTCTGGTCTCCCTCCACGTGACAAGCCATCGAGTTGAGCAAAAAGACGACGATCCGCTGGGTCAAATTGTCGGCGTTGTGGTGCTGTAGAACAGTGACGAGAAGAACGGCCAGTCGACTGAAGTGCCCAATGAAAAATGGCGCCGGTTAACAAAACACACACACGAAAAAAAGAAGCAAAAATTGAGTTTTTTTTTTCCGGCATGCTATAAAGGGCGGGCGTTTACAAAAAAGCCCTTTTTTGTGCTTCATTTCAAATTAATAAAGTACGGGTCCTTATTCTTTAAAAAAATTCAACGAAAATTTGATTTTTTTCGATTACTTTCTGATCAATGAAGTAATGCCTCTTTTGTACTTTCGATAGTGTCGTTATTCAAACCATTTTTTTCAAGATTTATTTTTGTTCGAAATTCAATTTTTTTTCAAGAAATAGTCTTCTCATTAGAAGTTTTTTTAAAAAAACAAGTTTTTTTCAAGCAATAAAAAAATTTCATCGTAATAAATTCATTGATTTCGTCGTAGTACTTTTTTTGTATCGTTTTTCTCAAGAGCAAAGTTAGGAAAAAAAAATTTGAAAAAAAAGGTGCCAAAAAGAGTGAAAGAGATAAGATTAGGAAACCCCCGTATTTTATTAATTTGCAAAGAAGCACAAAAAAGCGGTCGCATTTCTCCAACGCTCGCACTTTATGACATGCCTTTTTTATGAAAAAAAAAGGGAAATTGAGAAAGAAATCAAGAACCTGTAATCGAAGAGAATGTCTTGTGGGATTTCGAACTGGCACAGCGACAGGCAACAGTTCCGAACCATCACCTGCTCCTCCATGTGGACTTCCATTCCTGGAAATGCTCGCAAAGTGAAAAAAAAAGCTCTCTACAAAACCCACCGCTCAATAAAGCGCTGACGACCTGCTTCTTCGTGTCTCGGTTCATATCAACCTGAAAAAAAAACTATAAGAATGTTTTCTTCATTCATTTCTTGGGGCAACCTTGCGGATGATGTAAAAAAGGCTAGCAGAGCCAGCTATCTGGAGAGTCCCGTCGTGCAAATGTCGCTGCATGGCGTCGAGGACGAGGTGCAGTGCTTCCGTGTGTCGAACCTGCTAATATTCTCGGTATTTCCATAGAAATCGACGAGATTTCTCCTAGTACCAGTGGCTTGTTGTTGCCGAAACGGTAAAGTTGATAACTTTCGTTCAGAACAGACTGCAGGAGACCAGCGCGGTCTTTGTACATTTGCAGGGCGGTGATCACCTGAAAATATTCGTTTCAAAGAGAAATTCTCACATATAAAGTCAAGTTATCTTCAAAAATGTATAACCTCAAAAAAGAGGGTAGAAGACTCAAGTTATCATGACTAAAAGTCCAGAAAGTTGATAAAACTCTACAAATTTGGTCAGTATTTCATGAAATTCTTAGAAACTTGATCAAAAACCATTTAATATTACCGAAAAATCATTTTGTAAGTTTTCCCCCCACCTGATCTTCATTTGCATCGCCAGAAACATATTTGGCTGGAATTTCCAAAACATGAGGCCCATTTTCACAGTTAAAAAGTCCTAGGAAGACTAGAGGCTGATCCAAGGCCTGCAGACCAGCGATGTCCGATCGAACGCCTCCATTCCTGAGAACACATTTAATTTACAAAACAAAATTATTAGATGAAACAACGAAACCGAAAAATTCATACTTATTATCCAACTTGAAGGGAAAATCATTGGCCGTTGGTTGAGAGGGCAAATTTGTCGAGGAAATGTCCAAATGCGTCAATTGCTTGAGGCTGGTGACGATTTGGTGCAAAGTCGAGACAGGCCGCGGATAGATTCCCGTTTCGCGGGTAGCCTGAGACAAATCCAGCACCCTGAAATAGAAGATTTGATTCGAAAAAAATTGTGAATCTTAACGCTTTATAAATATAAATCACTTCAAATCGTTTTTTTGATGCGGGTTTTTTTGTATTTCGAGCAGGACGGAAATTTCTGTGATGAACTTAAAGTGATTCCTCTATTAAATTTCAAAATCTAAAAAGGCAAAAAAATAGCATTTTGAAAAATTTGAGATCTGACAATTTTTTTAGAAGATTTCAGCTTCAATTTTTTTCGAATGTTTCTCCAAAAAGTTACTCCGATCAATATTTTTTTCGTTGTTTTCGTATTTCAAATTAATGAATTTCACCAAATTGAAATCAAAAAAACTCGAAAAAAAGAATAAAAAAATTCTAAATAATAATGAAGTCATAGATTTAATTTTTCTTTTTTTCTCAGCACCTCAGCTCGGTCATCTGAGTGATTGTATTGATGGCGTGGTAGAGATCAGGAACGTCGTACAAAATCAGCGAAGTCAGAGTTTCATGCAACGGATGGATGCAACGCAAATCATCAAGCTGAACTTTTCAATTAAAAAGAAAAAAGACAGATGATAGTGGATTCCCTGCTGGTTTGAAAGAATAGAACTTTTTTGTTGTCTAATCAATTCTCCATCACCATACTTTGAGAAAAATTGAGAAAAGTATACTTACTTTAAACACAGCATTGATTTCATTTTTGAGCAGTCAAATCGAAACAAATATAAGAACAAAGATAATCATTAGCATAAATATCAAAACTGCTGATTAGGAGCATTTTTTTGTTTACTCAATCCTCCAGCAGCATATACCAATGTTCTAAAATTATTTTATACACGGAAGAATTGAGAAAACAATAAATATTCAAAAACTAGCAGACTAAGCTCGAATGAGAATCTGTAACAAAAATAGGCTGCTTTTATTATTTTACTTTCTCAAAAATTCTGGATTTTATCATACTTGAAATACCTTAAATTTCATTTCTGAGCAATTGAATCAATAAAATATATGACAGAAAAAAGTTAACCACGACAGCTTTAAGATGAATGCTATTTTTATTACTATTCGTACGCTCAGAACGCCCCAACCAGCAGTTAATCGAGTACAATCAGCTACAAAAAATATACCCTGGTCCAAAGAGACAAATCCAAATGTTCCAGGCGCTTCAATGGATCGAAAACGCGTGAAAGCAACGCATTCACCGACGATTCCTCTTCTTCCGGGAACTTTTTGAACTGAAAATCGTTGTTAAACTCGAGAATACAAAATAAAAGAACGCTATCTAACACACATGTTTAAAACAGTGCTACAGTGCGTTCCGCACGAGACGGTCACGTTTTGAAAGAACAGAAATGATCTATCGTAATTAAAAACTTTTGCTCTACAAAATTGCTAAAAAAAAAAGACAGCCAAAACAAAGGTTTGGAAGCAAAGAATTTCAATTTTGATCTAATTTGATATACGGTGTTTTTAGAGGAAAGAAAAACGTGACAAGCTGGCGCGGGATGGGCTATAAGACGGCCGGTCAATATCGTCTGTTTCGGAGCCAGGAAATTTTTTTCTATATTTCAAATTTGTATAGAAGGTAACCACAGCAATCACGTCTTGAGAAGTAAAAAAATTTCTCATTTATTATCAAAAAAACATTTCCAGCTCATTTAGTAGCTTTTTTTTTTTTTCAAAAGAACGCCGTTATTTTTTTCGAATACTTACTCGTGGCAGGCAGAGGCTAGTGACATTGGGACATCTGGAGGTGAAGACCGGAGTCTCCCTTTCTTCGTCCTCTTCTTCAAGGTGCCAATCTTTGCTCGACGTCGAACAGCTGCAAGCGAACAGTTTTTTGACGCAAGAATATATTTTTTCAACCTCTGAAGACATTCCTGAGCAGTGTCCTCGCTGCTGATCTGCAAAGAGTCGCGGCTGGGGCCACCGCGGCTTTCCCGCATATTGTCGAGGCCCTGGGCGCCCTCCAAATCCTTCTCGCCCAACATCAACACGTCCCTCACGTCCACAGCAGCCATCCCGTGCTTCCTGGAAAAAAAAAAAGTTGATTCTAATTTTTTAAATCACACAAGTCACATCGTGTGTTCCGCGCAAGATTTTAAAAGCACAAGAACAATCTATCGTTTTTCCAGTTTTGCTGTGAGAATTGCAGAATATGTAGCAAAAAAACAAGGACCTTGAAGTAAACTTTTGTCAAATTAGGTATATTCTCAAAAAACTATCTTTTTTCTTTTTTTTTTTCCTAAGTTTCCTTGAGAAGGATGTATCGATTTTGCTATCAGGTACAGATTTTTCTGGAGCATTTTTTTTTCTCCTATTCATTTTTGATATATTTTTTCTATTAGACACCTCCTCGGTTGTGGTCGGCTCAGAAGTTCCATCGACGTCATTTTGAGCGATTTCAGACGAGGAAATTGAACATTCCGAAGATCCAACAATGTATTCGCCTCGTCGGTAGCGCCCTAAAGTTAAAGTTTTCAATAAAATCCGTAAATTTTAGTCAAAACCTTGACATTGGTCAAGTCGATAGAATCGACAGTCGACTGATGAGCCGTGAACAAATCAACCAAAATCCGGTCGTCGAGCTGAGAGTAAAAGTATTTATAAAATTAAATTTAAAAAAAGAAACATACAACAGCTCCAGACAGATCGATATTGGTGAGGGGAAGTCGCTCCGAGTCGCACCAAGCTCGTAGGACTTTCCGGGTCTCTTTAACGTCATGATCTTCTTTTTTCTGAAGTAAACATTTTAAAACATGTGTTTCTCTTATTCCTTGTTAGCATTTGTCAAAGTTTGAACAGAAAGTTTTAACGATGGAAAATGCGCGAGAAACATTGTCAAACTTGCATCAAAAAATAAATTTTATTTTTTTCTTTCTTGAAAATAGATGATAATCTCACATAAGTGTTCCATTCGGCACGGTGTCGAGCAAACAAGGCGTGGCTCACAGGAATGGGAAGGTGAAACTGCTGCAGTGTGTCCTGGAAAGAAAATACATATGAGAAGAGCCTCTTGACTATTATTTTCTCCAAACTCATTTTTTTTTTACTTAAAAAATATAGATAACTGAAACTTCTCTAAATTTTAATGTCCACAAAGAAAATCAAAAAAAAAAAACGAAAGATTCGACGTATAAATAATATTGGATTATTTTTTTCAACAGTTCCGTTCTTAATTATCATCTTTATTGACATCTAAGTTTTCTGAATTGTTCATCCGATTTTTTACGGCTCCATGAGCAAAGTCGGAAAGGTTGGAAAGAGGCTCCATGGAAATTTTCCTTTTAAGTGAAAAATTCTCCTTTTTTTGCTGCCTTTTTGCGCCATTTCATCGGCTCATATGCACCATTTTTGCTGCCTCTCCGTTTCCCACCATTTTTTGAGCCTTTAAAAACCAAGAAAAAAAAAAATGAAAGGTTGGATAACGGAACTCTTTTTACTGCCTTTCTGCGGACTTTTTTGAGCCTCACCCTTTTAGCGGCCATAATCCACCATTCAGACTTTGCCCGAGTAGGAAATGGACTTTCTTGCCTACATTCTTTTTTTTTAATCACACTTCACTGTCTTTGGAACTCTCTTGATTTGGACCACACCTGAGCGAGTGTATTACAACATTCACAGTCATCAAAAAAAATTAAAATCACGGACATGGAGCAACATTTTGGTGTCGACGGCGCGGGCGGCCACGTTGAGCAGCGTCGGCGCCTCCAAGGGCACATCCTTCGAATTGGTCATCGCAACCCACTCGAATCGCTCACAAAGGTGAGGTCGAGCTAGGTTTTCTGCAAACTATTTTCAAAATGACTAACAAGGTGATTTCCCAGTACACGTTCGAATGGCGAAAAGGAAACAAAAATTCATAAAAGTATGAAAAAAAAATAATTGAGGAGGTTTTTCAAAGATTTTGCAGACGATCACTGTACACAAAAAAAGGAGAAATAACTCTTTCTTTTCAAATTTGTTGATAAAAAGGAGACCTATAAATATTCATAACACTTATTAGGAGAGAAATGAAGCAAAAAAAGAGCAGGCAACCAAAACAACTTGAGAAACCGAGGAGAAAGGGAGGACTGACGGCAAAACATAGGGATCCATTGAGATGACGACGACAAATTGGTTTTCAAAGAGCCCCAAAACATGTGATTTATACTTTTTGTTCTAGAAATTATTTTCGTTCAGCTGCATGTGGTCATTCTAACTTTACCAGGCACCACTTTTTTTTTTAGAAACTTGAAAAACTTTTCATTGGAGAAGCAGAATAAATTCAGAAAAATAGCCATTTACACAAATGAAGGGGCGTTTCTTTATTGAGATTGAATTTCTTTTTGCTATTCAAATTTGAGAAAGTGGCTATTATAACCTTGCCAGACATTTTCTACGAAATAGTAGGTAATTATTTCAGAAGAACTAGAAAAGCGTCATTTTCACAGATAGAAATCTAAGAACCCTTTCCTTCCATAAAATATTTTTGAAACTTTTTGATTGAAAGAAGCTATCGAAGTTTTGGCAATATAAAAAGTATTATTTTTATCTGAAAAATGTTTGATTAACTATCATAATGTTTTAAGTACAGCCTCAATCCAGAGTGTTCTTATCGAAAATTACAAGGTACTCGGTGAAAATGCTTTTGAGAAATAAGAAGGTAAGTCAGAGCCTTATTCGGGAAGAAATGATGATGAAAGAATATTCAAAAGTTGTCAGACCTGCGGTTTATCAGTAGTTTAATACCTAAAACATTTATTTTCCTATTCTAAAGATATGCCATCTACAAATTAATTTTTTTAACACCCTTATAAAAAACGTGGTCTATAAATTTTAGTACAAAGATAATTTACGAAAAACATGCCAATACAGCACCTGAAACGGAAGTAGCATCAAATAAAAGACAGCAAAACAGAGTTGGCGAAATTTTCGAGATTATATCGGCCGCTTCGGATTAGCGAAGGGGCACAAACTCTTGACGGCGCTGGGGAAAATCGGGAAGCTTTCAACAAAACAAGAGAAAAAAAAAACAGAATCCAAGTGGAAGCTTTTCACACAGCAGCTGGAACCAGATGCGTATTGCCGTTAAAAAAGAGATAATAATATTCTGAGAGAAGTGGAGAGATATTTCCCTTTTTCGTAGGAAAAAAAGTTTTTTTCTCTACTTGATTGCGGTATTAATCTACACTAAACTTCTGAGTGTGAATTGGAAATAATTGTACGAGAAAATACAATGATTCATTGGGAAGCAGCTGATTCGACCCTAATGAATCACCAAAAGAAGGAGTTCACTCGAAATGATTAACTTAATCGTCTGATATCATTTCTTTTCATTTAAAAAGGAAAAAGAGATTCTGCGCAACTTCAAATGACACGTGACAATGAATAATTGGCGCTTTTGACAAAGAAGGAAGTGGTTATTAGAAGCGGAAAAAGAGAACAAAAGTTTTGAAAAATTCCAAGTGTCTTTAAGAATGAAAAAATTCGTGAATTTGGTTTTCACGGTCTCCTGGAATACCATTTCCATGCAGTATCGACTAGATAGCATTTATTCGGCTCACCCTTGAAAAACGACGGAAAAAAATTACAAAAACTGAAAAAAACCAATTCATTTTTGTCCTACCCTAAAAGGAGCCAATATGAATCATGAAGAAAAACACAAACGCAAAATCGTACATGCGGAAGGAAAAGATACGATTCTTCAAGCGAGAAACCAGAAATGACGAAAACGGACAAATTCCAAACATACACTGTGTCGGAATTCCATGCCAGAACAAAAATTTTCCGGACATTGATAGCGTACAATGAAGAACGTAGCGTCTCATAAAACAAAAATTTTTTTCACAATTTCGGGCTAATTTCCTTTTCAAAACAAAAAAATTTTTTTAAATACTTTTTTTGCGTCCGAAATTTTTTTAAAAAGAACGAAGAATAAAAAAATAAGCTTTTTTTATTGAACTCAACACACTTTAAGCCATAAATAATTAAGATACTGATTAATCGGAATTCCTTCTTGAGGTATTTTATTAGCGAAAACATTTTTCGATAAATTTCTAAAAATTCACCGAAAAAAAGGGTATAAATTTCCTTTCTGTGCGAATTCTGAATAAGATAATAAATCAAACGGTCAGAAAGCACAGAAAGAAAAAAAGCGGAAAACGAAATGCGACGACGGCGTAGACATTGGGGCGTTGGTCTCGGTTCCGTTGCGCGGCGGTCAATAAAAGCCGCCGTTTTCGCATATATCCTCCTGTTCTCCTGACGTGTATCCGTCACTTCAGCAAGATTTTTATCAAACCCCAAATAATGAACCGGACGCCCTTAGAATGAACAGGAAAAAAATTCGCATCTCTAGCGTTTTTTGTTATAAAACTTTTAACGTTGAGGATAAGGTGATTTCATGAAATAAATGGACTTGAAATTTTGATTGAATTTGTATCTTTGAAAGTTTACTCGTCTGTATGCTCTCCTTGATTTTATTTAAAAGTGCAGAAGTTAAACATGACCTAAAATAACGCTGTAAACAGCTCTCTACATTAAATTTCCCCGAAATCGCTCCTTGCGACCAGAATCTTTCACAGAAAAAGATGTGAAGTATGAAAAAAGCTTTGAAAATATCCGTGAAAACTATAAAAAAAAATAGCGGAAACTGATTTGAACGTAGCCCGAAGAAAAATTTCAAAATTTCTGAATGTTTCTTATTAAGCGCACCAGAAAATTTTTGAAATGAAACTATAAAGTCAGAATAGATTTAACACCAACTTTTTAAAAAAATATAAAAAAAAACTCAGAAAGACAAATATTTACTAGAGAGAATAATTAGAGTTTTAATCTTCAAAACGGTAAAATCTGGAAAGAACATAAATTTCTCACTACGCTAAAAAGTTTCTCATAAAGAAAGAATAGTTCTAAAAGAGTGATAAAGTTTCAGACAGTAGAAAAAAGAAGATAACGACGAAAAAGCTAAATTGAACACGTGATAGTGAAAGAACCAAAAGTCGTGAGGTTAAATGCTCACACCGTCCGGCAGCCAGAGCGTGTTGACATATTCTAATGTACCGTAAACCTAAAAAGCAAATTTCCTCACTTTTATGTCAAATCCTTTAAAACTTTATTTTCGTGGTAATTTATTGCTATGGAGGTCGATTATAAAAAGAAGGTGAGTTAATAAACAAAACAAAAATCAAAAAAGTATATCCAGGAAATTGCAACAAAATTTGGCTGAGCTTTACCCTCCTTTTCTCTCCGAGTGAGAAAAGGAGGGTAAAGCTCAGCCAAATGACGTAAGAGAAACCAAGAAATGCTCTCATGAGAGAACATAACGGAAAGAAATGGCGAGAAGGAAAAAAGAGGTTGAAGAGCAAGCCGTCGGGCAGTTTCCGCCTAAAACACAGCCGCAGAAGAAAAATCTTCCGAAAATAGGCAGAAAGAACTCGATTTTTCAAGAAGTGCCGCTTCTTCTTCCTCTTTTCGAGAGACGAGAGAAAGAAAAGCAATGATATCTGACCGGAGAAACGACGAAAAAAAAATCACCCATATACCAGCACCAAAAAACACGTCTCTTTAAGGGTTCAAAGAACGAAAAACAATCATTCACGTGAATTAATAGGCTGTTAATTTGATTTTTTAAACTTTCTCATGAGATTACATTATTTTGATAGGTGTTAAAGTTTTCCTATGGGTTTTCAGAGAGAAAGTAACTGTCAAACTTAAACCATAGCTCTAATTTTTAGACGTTTAAAAAACGAAGCGCTTGAGCATAAATCAAATAGAACTCTCAAAAAAGAAAGAAGCGAAATGGGACTTTTCATCGGATTTTCAAGGATAAAAGCGCTGAAAACAAACCGGAAGCTGAAAAAGAGAATAAAACAGCCTCAAGTTGATTGAAAAGTATTTTTGAAAGTGAAGAAGCTTAGAAATTTTTTTAGATAGGCTGGCTTGAACTCAAAGAATTAAATATTTTGATCGGAAATAGTCTTGATACGATAAGCAATGAATGTGTCAAAACAAGATATTTATAAATCTTCACAGTAAGCTGTGCACTCTTCGGTAGGAGCCAGCGACAAGATTCGAAAGACTTTTTGAGGAAATGAAAAAAAAAACGAATTTCGAGAAAAAAGTTATACCAATTTCAAAAGAGATCCTTGTTAGAGAATTTCAAGGAGAATAACTTTCGATTTCTCTAAAATAAAATTAATTTATCGCCTCATGGAAATTGTCCAACATGTCTCTGCACATTCAAAAGACATTTTTAGATGAAGATTGTTCAAATAACGCTTTAAGACTGTGGAAACTCTATTTTTTTTTTTGGCTCAAACTCACAGAAGGATACAAACTGAAGGGGATCGGATCGAAACCACAACGGTTCCATGAAGCACAAACGAATGTGGGGGCCAGCCGACAAGAAAGAAGCTCAGCAAATATACACACGAGTGTCGAGTGGAGGAGATGCTCAGCTGATTTTCTCCCAACTCGATTTGATGTGAGAACGTTTTATTTTCCATTTTTCAAAGTTGAAAAACATGGAATATTCGAAACTTGTTGGTCAGGTGCCAAGAGAGCTGAACTTCAAAGTCTCTCCAGATCAATAGAGGGGGGAAATCTCGGAAAAATAAACGGCAGAGACAGCACATGACCACCTCCACAGAGACACTTCTCAGCCTGGTTTTCAAAGTTTCGACTATTGAAGGCTTAGGCCCGTTTGGCAACATGCTCACGAGTTAACTCAAAAAAAAGCTAAAAAGTTATGCCGT